CTATATGTTGCTGGCAGGACTCTCTTGTTAACTCCCAATGGACTCTTAAAACCAATTAAAGTTAATTTTATGGAGCTGCTAACAGCTCCCTCTGGACCATTTGACAGCTCACTCTCAACTATCAGACAGCTCACTATGGACCATTTCTGCTAATGGGGGACTTTTGCCTCATGATAAGTTATAAAATTTGACAATGAGGAAACACCAGTGGTTACACAGTTTTCTGTTTTTAAAACGAAAGGTAATTCCAATGGGAATCATTTACCATAAATTTCCAAGCTTACTACCAGGGTTCTGCTCACCTGCTCACCCTGACGCCTGTAGGCCTATGCCTGTCAGTTGATAGCCTCTTGATTAGCACTTTCCATTCTGTCCTGTCAAGTGCAATAGACTTCACTTTTTCAAAGTTTTTCTCTTCCCTTTGAGTAATCTCTTTAATTTGGTCCTCCCATCTTTTCCTAGGGCGACCAATTGGTCGTTTTCTCTTTGCTTTCCAGTTGTACATCCTTTTAGTGTCTCTTGTATCTGGCATTCGTAGAACATGTCCATACCATCTTAACTGGTTTTTCTCAATGATGCAAAGAACAGACTCCACGGCAAGTGACTTTCTGATTTTGTCATTTTTAATTTTGTCTCTTCTGGTCATGCCATAGATTAGGCGCAAAACTCTAATTTCTGTGGCTTGGATTTTGCTTTGGAGTTGTTGTGTCAGGGTCCAGGTTTCACTGCCATATAATAGAACTGGTCTCAAGATGGTAGTATATATGCATGATTTTACGTCCTTTGGGATTTTCCTTTCTTTTAGAAGGGGATATAATGCAAGCAGGTTTTTGTGAATTTGGCAATTCTATTGTTTACCTCTTCTTCCATTAGGTTGTAGGATGAGAGCTTGCTGCCCAGATAGCTGAAGCTTTTTACTTGCTTGAGGACTTGATCTTTTATAACAACACCCTCTCCCAGCTGCCTTCCAACTTTCATGTATTCCGTTTTAGTGTAGCTTAATTTCAGGCCCGCCCTGGTTAACTCACTATCCCATTGATTCATAATTGCTTGTAGTCTAATGATGCTTTCCCAAGTCTGTGCAATATCGTCAGCATAGCCGAACTGTTCTGCTTTGAAATCTTCTCTTTCGATGTTTTTTGTCACATAGTTGAGATAAAGGATGAACAGAAGGGGTCATAGGACACTTCCTTGTACACCGGTGTTGACAGGAAAGTATTTGGTACCTCCCAAGACGGTGCTGCTTTGGTAAGTGCTCTTGACTGCCTTGAGTAGTGAGATGCTGACTCCAGTCTCTTCAATCACCTTCCACATTTTATCTCTTGGGACTCTGTCAAAGGCTTTCTCTAGATCTAAAAAGCATATGTGTTGCTCAATGCCATATTCCCAGCTTTTCTCTAAGAATAGTCTTAAAGTAGCAATCTGGTCGACAGTTCCCCTCCCGGGTCTAAAGCCACATTGGCTTTCCGAGAGGACACTTTCCGAAAGGGATCTTAATCTTCTTTCCAGAATTCTTTCGTAGAGTTTGCCAACATGACTCATGAGCGAGATTCCTCTGTAATTCTTACAGTCGAGTGGGTCACCCTTGTTTTTAAAGATAGGGCAAATCACTGACTGGGTCCATTCTTGTGGTACCGTTGCATTATTCCATGCATGGTTGGAGATGTCAAGTAAAATGAATTTCATTTGGTCCCCTCCTGTTTTAACTGTTTCTATGGGGATGATGTCTGGTCCGGGGGCTTTGTTGTTCTTTGTTAATCTGATGGCTGTTATAAGTTCTTCCATGGTAATTGAGTCTTCTGTTGAGCTTGTGGATGGCACATCATATATCTGCTCAACTGTAAACTGTATGCGTTGATCTCCATCTTCTTCCACATTCAGTAGGTCCTGGAAGTATTCTATCCAGCGGATAGTTATGTTATTTATTCCGGTGATAACTTCCCCTGTGTTGCTCTTTAGACTGCAGTATCTTGGTTTGTTATTGCTTCTGCTTTTGTAGGATTTAGACATACTGTAAAGCAATTTCTTTGTACCTTGGGCATCTGCCTCTAAATCCTTTCCAACTTTCTCCCACATTTCCTTTTGTGCTCTCCTTTTTACATAATTGACATGATTTCTCTGTTGTTCATAGGCAGCTCTACTGTCTGCTGTTCTAACCTTCAGCCAGTGTCTGAAGCATTTGGCCTTCTTCTCAACCTCCGCTTTCACCTCCTCTGTCCACCAACCGGTTCTTTTCTTTTTTACCTTTCCCACGATAGTCATTCCAACAATGTTTTCTTGAATGCTTTGTATGCAATTCTTAAAACTTTCCCAGTGATCTTCAATGTTTTCCCCTGTGATACTCTTGTCTTTCCTCTTGTAATTTCATTTCTATTGCTGACTTAGCACTTTTAAAATTTTCTACTTTAAGTCTTTTTCTCACAACCTGCTTTTCCTTTTTGGGTAAGTGTATTTTCAGTTTACCTTTTACCAGTCTATGGTCTGAATCCAATGATACAGACGGGATGGCTTGCATATCCTTTCTGATGGACTTTATATTTGTGAGTATAAAGTCAATCTGTGATTTCTGATCATACTTTCCTATCCTGGAGTTGTATCTGTACCATGTATACTGATGGCTCTCTTGATGTGCAAAGTATGAATTCATGATTGAAAGATTGTTTCTTAAGCAAAAGTCTATGATCATATCTCCTTCTTCATTTTTCTCCCCAATTCCAAACTTGCCAAGGACATTTCCAATAGCTTCACTGCCAATGTGGCAGTTCAGGTCACCCATCATGACGATGTCACTCGATTGGAATGTTGTCTAGTGTATCTTGTAATAATTCATAAAAGTTTTCTTTTTCATCTCTTGGTCGGCCTTGTTGGGGTGCATAAGCTTGAATGAAAGTGACTTTGTATCTGTCAATATTTAGTGTTGCTCCAATAATTCTGTTACTGACATATTCAATTTTTTCAATGTATTTTGAAAATTCAGGGTTAAAGAAAATTCAAACGCCATGCCTTGTGTTTGTATCATTTCCAGAATAAACTAGTTCATAGTTGTTGTGAATCGTATTTCTCCCTTGTCCCTTAAGTCTTGTTTCTGCAACTCCCAGGATTTTAAATTTGCGGTCTTCCATCAGATCCACAATTTCTTCCATTTTTCCCCTTATAGTTCCAGGGTTAATTGTTCCAATGTTCGCATATCCAGAAGTCTTGGTCCATGTTCGCGCGGTCGTTTTCCTAAAGGTCCGTCCATCTCGAGGCTTACTGCGTTTGTCTTGAGCAAAGTTAAGAATCCACCCTTGGCTTGCTAAGCCTGTCACGGCTTACCCGGTGTCACCCAGGGGGCACCGTGAGGAGGTGAAAGTCGGACTTTACCCCCCACCAGGGTTCTACAGGCCACAAATACATGACATATATGAGTAATTTCACAGTAAATGGACATGATATCCTAACATTTTCATGGAAAAGTAGAATACAGATGATTTTGGCTAAACTCTGTGGTACAGAACATATATCAATGTTTTGGAAAAGGGGTATTATAAGATAGTTAAATTATCTTTTCAAAAGAAATATGCACGTTTGTATTTTTAATACACTACAAATCCTATTCCCATGTAACGGACTAACAGGATTTTGACATACATTTGGGTCAATGACTTTCCATTGTGGATGCTCCAAAAATAAAATGCATGATTACCAATTTTTTTTTTATTTCTTACTGTATACCGTATATTCACTAATTTGATAAACATTTAAAAGTAACAGATATATTGGGCCATTTTTAACTTCCTAAATTTTTTGACATACAATGTTGCGTTCGTTACAAAAACCATCAAATTGCATATTTTTTAAATAAAAAAGGGTTTTATTTTTCTTTCTAGTGTTTTATCTTATTAGTTTCCAATATATTTCTTATAGAAATAATGAATCCATCCTTATAATACGTAATTTAAAGAAAATATCCTACATCTAATTTTAGACATTTTTGTCATGTAACATTTTTGTATGGTGAAATATGGCTAAAAAGTATGTCAATTTATCATTATATTTTTGACTGTGAATTGTGTGATCATGAAATGATTTTTAATATGTATACTCATTGATATGATAATATAAATGTAAAAATATTTAATTTTAAACAATAAAATATTTAGTTATAGCTTCCTAAAAAATATTGCTTGGAGCATGTCTATTTACTGTGAAATTGCTCATATCATAGTTTATAGATACAGTAGTATAGTAATGGTAGCACTGTATGCCATTTCCCACCTCGATTCGCTAAACACTTATGAATATGCATAAGCTGAGGTTGAAAAATATAGCTGATATGCATACTCAACCTCGCTGTTGCTAAGAAATGACTTCCTAGAAACACATGTATGTGCTTTGATTGGTTGACTTGACCTTAACGTCATGGCATCTGTTGCAACTAGATACAAACAAACAAAATCATAAGGTTATTCGACGCCCTTGCAGAAAATTGATAAGGACCTTTGACAAAGAATCTAGAAATTAATAGAAAAGGCTTTTCGGAAAGATGACATCAAAGAAAGAGTAAGTCAGCCAACGGTGATTTTTGCCCAAGATGTATTAATTATTGACTGTGAAACTTTTTTTTTTCACAAAAACCAAACTCAGTATCGACTTCCGTATCTCAATTCAAAATTCCCAAATTCATGGTTGGTTAACATAATACGCTCTCTGCTTGTAGGCTGTACTTTATGGATAAACAGTTAGTAAAAATGAACAGAATTATTTTTAGGAGAACCAAGATCAATTTGTTGTTCGTTTGTATACAAATACAACTATATTGATGTATGAATCATTAGCATTGTGTATTTCCATCACCATAAAAATTTTCCTTTTCATGCGTACGTTGCTTCAATCAATGAATAACCTAGGCTAGGCCTCATAATAATAATAATAATACATACTGTAGGCCTAGATGGCTAGGTCTCAAGTTATATTATACAAATAATGGATGTTTATAAGTGCAATAAGGTAGAATATTTCATGAGGTGAAGATTGGTTCTATTCAACGAGGTGTAGCTAATCGTCCAATCTTTCACCAAATGATATATTATATTATTTTATTATAATAATATAATATATAATAATAATAATATATAATATAATAA